AAAGATATCGTAGGCTGCGATCCTAGCGTGTGTAATGTACTTAAAGAAACAGAAAATGTATCACTCTCGTTCCATTTTGTATTTCGCTTATTATGTGTTTGGTGCCTGCAATAAAAAAAGTTAATATTCAAGATAACATTTAATTGCGCAAACCTCATGTTCCTCTAAATCCTTACGTTTCATCGAGAATAATAATCAATAACAAATATTTCTTGCGAAGACTAGACGCTCGATCAGAAGTATTATACGTACGTTACGCATCGCTCTGAACAATTATTTCCACAAATTGAGCATTATCAACAAAAAGTCAATCAGGCGACACATCTTACTCTAGACTCTATCTCCCTTGTAATCCGTCTGATATCTGCGAAACTCACAGAAATAGTGTACTTCGATGAGACGACGAGCAGAGATGAATCATACATTACAGATATCAGACAGATTGCGCAAGGGAGATAGAGTCTAAATTGGATGTGTTGCCTGATTGAGTTTCAGTTTATAATGCACAATCAGTGGAACATATTAATCAGACCGACGCGTTACGTACAATACTTATCATTCTGCGCATAGTCTTCGCAAAAAAGATTTATTACAGATAATTATTACTATAATGAAACGCAAGGATTTAGAGGAACATGAGGTTTGCGCAATTAAATGTTACCTTGTATATATTAATTTTTTTTATTGCAGGCACCAAACACATGTATTCAGCGAAATACAACGCCTGGAACGCGAGTGATACATTTTCTTTATTTGTTCTTCACTATTTCCTTGTACTCGTCTGCGTCTGATAGTATCGCCCCAGCTCCCAGTCCTCGTAATCCTCACCCCTCACATGAGATAGTCAAGTTCAACAAAGTTCTATCTGTTCGTTGATCTGGTTCTCTTCCAACGATTTCAGATACTGCCTCACCTCCATCTCCTCCTGCTCCAACCATTGCCTCTCTCTCCGGCGCCTCTTCATCATCATACGGTATTCACGATTCCTTTGCTTCCTCGACTTGCGCGGTTCAGTCATCCCCGCTTGCGCCGAAGAATCACCCGTCTGAAAAAAATAAAACAAGTGAATAAGCATGATACGAATGATATTGAGTATTTAATTGTGAAAAAGGTAACACGATAACATATATCGTTCCGAATCTGTCGTGTCACTCTTGCGCGTACACGATATTCGCAATATTGCAATGCCCAACATTGATCGTAGTGCGAATATCATGTACGCGCAACAGTGACACGACACAGATTCAAAACAATATATGTTATCGTGTACACATTTAGCACGAACAAAGAAAACGGTCCTTACCATTTGTCCTGGGCGAGCTTCTTTCATTGCCAGTTGGCATTTATCCTCAACGAGGATTACATTCTCCTCCTCCGCCTTCCTCTTCTCGGCCATATCGTAAATGCAATCTGTGAAAATAATAAAACAATTAGCGTGAGTCGCTTCAAATGCATTCAATTACATTGCAGGCTGCAGCGAAAACACAATTCAATCATCTCGAATGTCTCTCGTGCGTGCGTTTCTCGAGCGCGTACATGGCAT